TGGCGCAGTGGGTTCCTTGGCCTTTCGCTTTTCCGTTTCCCTTCAGAATTCTAAGTTAGCGCTCGCTTCATCATGCATTTTGATGTTTTCTGTAATGTATGTCCTATCCACTTTCAACGTAGTTTCCTAATTTCCTGCTCAGCTTGAACCTGGTCTTCCACAGTAAACTGTTGCTGATGGTATCCGGCACAACGGACATTCAGGATCTTGCATAGACAACTGTTTATAAATACTTGTAGTGGTTCTCCAAGTTTCAGTTCCGTGAAGTAGAACTGTTTTGACGTTCGCATTGAAGATTCTGACTTTGATATTGGATGACAGTTGTTTTGAGTTCCATATGTTCTTTAACTGTAGGAATGCTGTCCTTGTTTGCTAATCTTTGCATTCACATCTCCATCAGATCCTCCACATTCATCAATGATGCTACCCAGGTACATGGAAGACTCCACCTCTTCCGAAGTTTTAGCATCAAGCGTGATTGGGTTGCTGTTCGCCGTGTTGTGTTTGAGGATCTTGCTTTTTCCCTTGTGTAATTTGACGTCTACGGATGCGGACGCTGCTGCTACACTAGCCGTCTTCACCCTCATTTGTTGGTGTGTATAGGATAGAAGAGTCAAGTCATCTGCGAAATCCAAATCGTCTAGTTGCATCCAACCTATCCACTGTACTCCGTGATTCCTTTCAGATATCTACGTCTTCATAATCCAGCCAACCACCAGAAGAAAGAGAAAGAGTGAAATTAAGCAGCCTTGTCTGACTCCGGTCCTTATTTGGAATGCGTCTGTCAGATGTCCTCCATGCACCATTTTGCACTGTAGTCTGTGGTATTAATTCCGGATGACGTTGACGATCTTCTCAGGTACTCCATAGTGTTGGAGAAGTTTCCATAAAAAGTTCCTATCCACACTGTTAAATGCTTTCTCATAGTAAAGGATTCTGATGTGTAGTGACGAGTTTCATTTAATTGATTGTTCAACGATGATCCATAGTGTCGTGATTTGGTCTGTACATGACCGATCCTTGTGGAATCCAGCCTATTGATCTCACAGTTGGGCGTCCACTGAATCCTTCATCCGGTCCAGGTAAACTGTTGAACACTTTTCCTGGTACCGATAGAAGTGTGATTCCTCCACAGTTTTCACATTTGCTCAGACCTCCGTTCTTTGGTATCTTGATGAGATATTCTTCTTTCCAGTCTGTCGGCAGTTGTTCTTCCTCCCAAATCTTCCTGAATAGGATATGGAGTATCTTTGCAGTTGCTTCTATTTCTTACTTCAGTGTCTCAGGTGGTATATTGTCAGGTCCTGCTGCTTTCCCATTCTTGATTTGCCTGATGACCATCCTCTTTTCTTTCATCGCTGGTGGAGTGACATCGATATGAAGGTCTGTAGGTGCTACTTCGATTTTCGGTGGACTCAATGGAGCTGACCTATTCAAGAGTTCTTCAAAGTTTCCTACCAATGTTCTTCTGTTCATGAATCTCAATGATTGGCTGACTTCTTGTTCTTCCTTTCTTGAATCCTATCTAAGGTTTCGACAGAGATACATTCGTTATGATGCTTCTTAAGGCCCAGCACCTCTCGACACGTTGATATTAATGCTTCTTTGATATCTTTCCAGTTACCCTACATAGTAGTTTCCTCTTCTTTTAGTAGATCTTGTAAGGCTTGAAGTTTGGATCTTACACCGGCCTGCAAAATCCTTCCATACAACACAAGCCACCTTGATGCCTATGGTCATGGTTCATTCTATAACATATTCTGTACTACAGGAACGAGCACGACTTACAACAGTACTCCTACTAGACCTGTCTGCATTGACATAACAAGGAACTAATTCGAACCTTCAAGGTGATATACTTTACGTACATCCCGTCTAACTAATCCATTATTCGTACGAACAGTTACCGTCCTAACCTTTCCGTCTTTAACTATTTCACAACCTTCAACTACTCCTAAGGGCCATCTTCCACGAGTCGAGATATCCGAAGTTACGATCACTGCATCTCCTTTCCGAATAGAAGGTGACGCATGTTTGTAGTTACTTCGATGTCTGATTTCAGTGCTTCAGCTGGTATGTTTTCAGGTCCTGCTGCTTTCCCACTCCTGATTTGTCTGGTGGCCATCCTGATTTCTTCCGTCATTAGTGGATTGACATCTATAGGAAAGTTTGTGCGATGCTTCGATGTCCGGTGGATTCATTGGAACCGGCCTATTCAAGAGTTCCTCAAAGTACTCTATCTTGAAGGATGGCTGTATTGAACCTTTGCACTGCTGTTTCCCAATCTGTCCAGTGTTTCTTTAATTTCAGTTTCATCTTGACAACTACCAGTTGTCTACCCATCTGTTTCACTGTTCCTGAATTTCAGTGACTGGCCTGCCTTCTTTGTCTTTGACCGGTCTCTCTGGTTTACTATATTTCCCTGCTAGTTTCTTCGTTGTATCGTAAAGCTGTTGCATATTTACTTCTCTTGCAGCTTTCTCCGCCGTCGCTGATAGTTCGACAGAGATACATTCCTTATGATAATGCTTCTTAAGGCCCAGCACCTCTCGACACGTTGATGTTAATGCTTCTTTGATATGAGAATCCAACACTGTTTCGTGGGGGAGGATGGACTCGGAAAATTAAAATCCGGATATCAACTCCGGATCCTCAAAAAAGAGGAGGTGATATGATGGGAAGAAAAGTCAATTTTCGATTGATTTACTCAATATGAGTTTTATTCATCATTACATCCGTTTTGATTCAATGTAATGATTACGCAATGTAGTATTTGTTTTCTTTTCTCGTATGATATTTTATCCTTTATAATATACGATATTCTTGTATTCTATTGACCTGAACTATGCTCAGCATGTGATTTAATATAATATAATATATAGATGCGATTTCATCCTAATTAATAATGAAAATGGGTGTGCTATCAATATATAAACGAGTGTATTTTTGACTATCGTCGTCGCAGTGTTTTGGGGTTAATAAATCTTCACTTATACCAGTCTTTGCGTTCTTACTTTTGCGTCGTGGGAATCGCAGAGGTCCCTCGTTCCGAGTATAAGTGATAGGCGTTTCCGACACAACAATCAGCGACGACCAAATATAACAAGCAGCATTCAATTGACAAGTTATAACAATTCCCTCCTTATTTGTTCTGAGGGATGCTTTGATGATCCTGGGTCTACAAGATTTCTATCTTACAAGTGCTTTATGTGCTTCTTTGGGCAGCATCAGAGCGACTCCCTGAGTATACGGAGCATTTTATTCTTCGTAACTAGAATACAGCAACATCTCTATCAAATCTAATCTTTTCTGTTTAGCTTAGGTCCAATGGGTTTCACTGATTCTGAGAACCGCCAAGTTGTATCTCCTCATTTTCGCAGCTATATGACTGGTTTTTTCAGTCTCCAAAATTGTCCGAACATCCCATGTACCTATATTAATTGTTGCTCTAGTTGTTAGAAAGGGCATCAGCCACTTGATTTCCTAAGAATTTCGCCTTTCATCGTGAGGCATCATAATGTTTCTGAATGGAGATCCTTCGACACGAAGGGTTTAAATGGTCTAACTTGTTTATTCTGGTTAGCGTTTTTTAGCAAGGTTGTTTTCTACGGGATGGGGTTACTGACACCATGCCCAACCCTCCTCCTTTACCCGAGCTTAAGACCGGTAGCAACCCTAGAAGAGCTACAGGTGAAGTTTTCACAACTACCTAAACTTCTGTTAATGTTATGTTATTTTGGTCGAGGTTATTTCTTATTGTATGAGATATACCTGGGTAATTGAGTGTGCGTGTAAAAAATGTAACATTTCTAATGTGGAAGAGTTAGGAATATTTTTATTAGTTGTGTGAGATTTTATGAGGGTTAACAGTGTGGCAATCCGGATAAGTGATCCGTGTTGTCAGGCCTTCCTTTCTATCAAGAGCGGCAGGGTTCAGCAAAATATTATATATATATATATATATATATATATATATATATATATATATATATATATATATAATTGGAAAATCCTTTTTGAAACATTTCTATATTATTAATATCAATTTGATGGTTATTAAATCTATTATGTACTGGTATTATTGATTTGATTTATAGATTTTCTAGTTCTACGGGATTATTTGGAGGTCTGTTTGTGTAGCTTAGATGTTTGTTGAAATGAGTTACGATTTCATAAAAAACTCCATTACAATCTACACTTCCTAGTCTGCAGACATAAGTTCGTGTCGAAGTGATGGGGATTTTATCATTTATTTGAACTAAAGCATTTTGAGGAGTGTTCGTTATTTTATAGAATGCTTTAGCCCTGTGCGATCTAGTGATTCATTGTAGTTCTTCTCTTGTGCTTTAGATGTAATATTTTCAGAAAATTTTGCAAGTGTCAGTTAAAAAGAGTATTTTTTTAAATTGTCATTTTATAATTCATAAAATATACATGTAAAATTGGAACTGGCGACTTGGAATTAATACATTTAAGTGGATCAATCTGGAGAAAATCTCAAAAATCTTTTATAAATACCCACGAATATCACACAGTATCATCGTTGATTGGAGTTGAAATAAACGTTTTTAGTTTGTATTGCATTCTCAATTATTGACCACTAGGTTAAAGAGTTATTCAGTGGTATTTTGTCGTATATTGCATCCGGTTTCCGCATTAAGTAGCAGAGTTAAGATATAACACATCATCTCTAAGGTGAACAACTCACTTCAACCAGAGATGCTATACTGTATGCACTGTGAAATATTCACCTCTCAGTGGTCATTCTGTCGAACTTAACTCGAAAAAATTAATTAGTATTTCATTCGCATGGTTATGTATAAGTCGTTCGGTCCTTCTAGTAGAATAGATTAGTTCATATATTGGAGGTACAGTCCAGTTCATCATCACTTTCAACCCCAATCAACATTATGTAGATCAAAACACTAAGACATAAACATCTTCACATATTATTAGTAAACACTTAAAACTAATAGACTAAAGAACAAAGGTAAACTCACTTTCTCATCAATAAACGCTTTACAAGCCATCACAAAAATGTAATGAAGAAACGATGGCATAGGTATATTAATTGAAGTTTTCTACATAAACACAAGAAAACGAGAATGAGTGAATAATTTAAATTACTTATCAGGTATAAATTTATGCATTCATATTGTTTGGTCGAGAACTAATGATACTCTCCGATTTTCTAAACAACGATGGACGGAGTGGAGCTTACATCTATCAATAAGTAATTGATAGACAAATGTTTTAACTACCATTTGAGACGGATCACTTATGTACTTTTGTGAGACCTATCAAGTACCATAATTACAACTCAAACAATGAGATTTGAAGTCTAATGTACAAACATGTACTTAGTCATTAAGTTCGACTGAATTCATAGATTTCAGGAAAAGAAATCAACGAAATTAAACTTCATCTATTCAGATATTTAGATATTACACTGATTACGTCGAAAACATTGTATTATATAAGCCTAAAACAATGGTGGAGTACGGTAAAAATATAAAAATGCTCTCCAAAAGCTTGTATTAATATCTGAAATTACGTACTATCAGTTGGTGTAGCCAAATGAAATACTAACAACGTTCAGTTGATACTTTTATCTTGTTAGTTCAATTGACAGGATTTTGTTGCATCGTCCGAGCTGCGAATTAAACATTGTGTCAGTCAGTCAAACTCAAATTAAAACGTGGTACTTATGTGTATCAGTTCAAGTTGCCACGTCACATTAGCAGAGATAAAATTATTACACATCCCAAAGATATAGTAGTAGTACTGATAGTAGTAAGGAGATTGCAGAACTCAGCTTTCAAGAAAAGGGGAACAGTAGATGCATCTACAACAGTGCGGATGATTTTGAGTCATGTTCCCTAAAATATCTAACCATTGGTTGCGACACCAACCAGATAGTCCGCATGGCTTAGTTCAACTGTTAGGGACTTCACGGACTGGTGTCTTGTCATGGTTTGGCCAACCCTAGCTTTCTTTGAGTCTACTCCTATACCAAAAGACATCACCCATCGAAGTTGACGTGGTTAGTCAAATTTAACACATGCCGTTTCAAAGAACCTAGAGTAGCTTTCAGTCAGCAGGACTATTTAGCATTAGAGGCTCATGAAGAAAAAATAAATATTAAGTCTCAGAGGGATCCCAGTGTCAACAAGGCAATCTCATGTGTTGTTACAGGTATGAGAGCGGTTGTTACTTTTCCTTCCCCCATATCGTCGAAAGATATTTCTTCTCAAAACGCCTGAGGAGAAAACTGGATTCCTTGCGACTTGGGAGCGTGACTGCAGAACATAAGTCGCAAGGAATCCAGTTTTCGCCTCAGGCGTTTTGAGAAGAAATATCCTTCGACTCAAACCAGTCACACACGACCATTTAGTAAACAGTTGTAGATACTCCAACATACTTTTCAGATCTCACCACCAGGGATGAAAATCTGTGGGACAAGGTGAAATCTGTTGTTTACAGAGCCTCATTAATATCCGACCCCTATACAGTCAACAGTACGACTTCACCCTCAGACTTCAAGTTGCTACTCCTAGTTTTAACGTCCCTCCAATTTACCTGGATGAGATGGTAAGACCTAAAGGAACAAGTGATCCAGCCAATGTAGCCAGATTAAGTCATCACGATATGCAAGCGCGACCACGTACATAAAAGACAAAGATTGGATACATTTGTATAATTGAGATCGATCATGACTTTTGTTATTCAACATTCTCAATCAATGGCAACAATAGTAGCGCGGACCTCAGTCAGACAGTTTATGCTTATCAATACTTTTCAGTCTGAATGTTTATAGACTGAAACCGCCTTGCTATGTCCCACCACCTTATTACTGTACTATACGACAGATTTGAGATTATTGTTAGCTAGTACATGAAGCTAGCTTGGACTGGACACACACAGATTACTAGCAACTAATTATACTTCGAAGATAGAGTAATATAAAGTGTTAAAATATGTAGTACTATTACCTATTTTAAACCACATCAAATGATGTTGAAATTCTATCACGTAGCATCCCCTTGGACATAATATTTTACTCGACTGGTCCCAAATCAGAATGAAAATTGGACGTCAACAAAAATACACTTGAAAATCCAAAAAGCAAGAGTTCGTATAGTAAGAACGTTGAAGTGTATACAAAATCTATATAAGAATCTTTTAGTACTTTCCCATTTCATTCACTAGCACTGACTGGCTGAAAATTTGCCCAATCACAATCCTCTGGCTTTGCTGATTTTGATATAAGACTGGTTTGAAGACTATGATGTACCTTAAATTGATATTTGCAACTTATTTCCTTTATTAGTTACAATCAAATATTTATCACAGATGAGTTAGAAGCAGTAATAGCTAGTCAGGCATTTGCAAACAACGTGCGACTCACTGTAAACTCAAGAAGCGTTCCACGCACATCCCAAAATAAACTAGCAAAGTGATCACGAGATATGGGTCGTCCGTTTATCCGTATTCTTTCCTCAACGTTTATGAGGTGAGGAGAGCTATTTGAAGAAAACATAAGTATACACATATAGGATTAGTTGACATAACACAGGCCTTTTGGTTACTTGATGGCCCCGTATGTGGGGTCGGGTGACAAAAGAAGGTGAACAATTTAATATGACTTAATATTGATTGATTTGGGGAGAAGTTAAGCTTTCCGGTGAATAATGTTAGTTATTATTAGTATAGATAACTAAAATGAAGACATAGATTAGCTATTTAGTTGGAGTTTTATTAAGACTACTTTCCAACGTGATACAAATCAGCCAAAACGAACTTTATGAGTCCGACTATACAGGTAGCTCCACGGAGATTCAGTGGCTTTGAGGAGCTTTTGATTATGTCGTTATTACTTTTACTAAATTCTTCACCACAGTAAGTCGAAAAAGCAGTTTTCTTGTTCCGTTAACTATTTAGCAACTTCTTTAATACACAGGAAATGCTTCAGCATAACAGAGAAGTTTATCAGATACTTGTTTTAAAGTTTATTCAGGCTCAAACATTGACAATCAGGGTAACTTGTGATCAGCGTCCAAATAAATACTCCATGAAAACCTGAAGTCACTCACTGAGATGACAAATGATGGCGGTGACTAAACAAGTAATTGTTGAAGTGAAGTTTGGAAAGACGATTAAAACGTTTCTCGAAGAAAACTACTTAAATCCAACACTTCTGACGTCACTAAAAACCAGACTCTTCAATTACTAAAGTTCCAACAGTTAAATAAACTGGTTACTGCTTAAAATTCGCATTCTGGTTATGACTGCCCCCAAATGCCCTGGTACGGCCGAGAGTGGGGAGAGTCCGCTCTCCCTCTCGAAATGCTCTCACATGGCCACGCGTATACAGCCTCTGCCAGGGAAGTCCTACTCACTGTCTTCTCGTGGCGGGGGTGTTGTTTACAAAAATGAGAGGACGAAAAGCGAATGTCCGGCGCTTTAACCGGACCCAAAACCAGTGGTGCACATAGGCTCCAGTATCCTGAAGGAACAAATGGCGTATGAACCAATCGTTGGTCACCGGCTACCATGAGACTGCATCTCCTTACGATGCTTCACTGCCTTGTGGATCAGATCTTCAGGTCGAAGACTCGGGGTGTGGCCCCCTAAGAAAACCACCTGCTTCGGTCTGGGCACCCGGGCAGTATCACAGCCCTCACACATATCAAATGAGATTTGTGTGGCGCATATATATTTGGTGCCTCCTTGTACCAATATCTATGTGTTAAAATTAAATAAAATAAATAAAATCTGCTTATGACTACAAAAACATAAAGGGTGAATATATACACTCACTAACCTTAAAAACCCAGTGCGAAATCCGGATTTCTGTAAAACGTTCTCAATCATTGAACAAACTGAACCTTTGCCTTTAGACCCTGTAACATGTATAGCATGTAAGTCACGTAGTTGCTGATCCTGTTGTACAAATAGCTTAACAAATTCTTGAGCATACTTCAATTCCAACAGCAGAGCAATAAACAGCGGACAACCCATATCTTTGTTCTTTCAAAAGCCTTGGATTTGACGGTGTTAAATAATTCGACAGCTTAATAGACTTGTTGAGTTCATGTATGGCATCCTTTAAACACTTAGAACATGAGTCAACTTACTTGATAAGAACGAATGAAACATGGGACCATTTTACGAAAAGTCATTTGAAAATATTGGTCCCTTGGATAAATTCATTAATAAACCTGAAAAATTACAAAGTTGAACAGAAAAAAAATTAAAGGACCGGATTCTGAAAGACAAACCTATACTTAAAATTATTACTCTTAGTAATTGAGCTGACTGATGCACTAAACATCCTAAACAACGACACACACTCCCAGCAAGTGATCTAACATTTTAAAGTCACGTTCTAGGATCACTTAGTCACAGTTCTGTTAAGTATGAAAGAGTCACTAAGCTATTAGAATCTCGTTACACTTACTGTGATCCCGACAACCAGGTAATATTATTAGGCTATAAAAAATTGATAATTCATAGTATCTTGGTTACCTTGTTGATAACATAACCAGATCAGTGATGTTGCCCTTTGAAATCTGTTTGGATGAGATTTCGAGATTTATTCAGTTAGTAAACTACCTGTCGGGTTATTTTTGTCTTTTGAATGTCATTAAATCATTCGTATTGTTATAAAAGTTATTATTACCTTCCTCACAGTTACACTTCACCTCTGTAGAAGTATGAGTTGTCACTTTATGTTTTTGCTTAACTTACACTAGACACTAGTTCTTAGTTGATCATATACTTTATGCGCTAAATATCACATTCACTGTTTTTCCAAGGCCTGTATATTGAAAAAATTAGTAAATTCGAGACGTTAAACGTGACATTTGGTCTGAAATCGCATGAGCAAAGTAAAATAGGCACATAGCTTTCCTGTTAATCCACGAGAAAAAAGTGTAACGCGCCATAAAGTGAAGATATTTTTGAACTAAAATTAAGCTATCTTCGCATGTACAAATTACGAATGTTATTTCGTGTTTAAGTGCAACTACTTAAATACTTTTTTGATAATCAAGTTAAGCAAAAATATAGAACACAACTAAAAGAACAAGGTACCTCACAAAACATCAGATTACTCTCAATATTCATAAATAAAAGCATTGGACCAATCGTATTAATAATTTTGTAAGATAGCAGTGTGGTTATAAGTACTATGACAAACAGAACAATGTATGAACAACGGTACGCAGATACAACAGAATTTATTTATTTATTTGAACACATTAATATTGGTACAAAGGGGCACCAAATACATATGCGCCACACAGGTCACTTGATTTGTGTGTGGGCTTTGGTACTGCTCGGGTGTCCAGATCGAAGAAGTTGGTTTCCCTAGGGGGCCACACCCAGATACAAGAGAAATGTTAATCGCAAGAAATATAAAACTACGCTAACGAACGGATTTTGTAAGCATTTACGTTTTACAGTAAGCGTAAGCAATTTTATATGATCAGCGTGAACACCACGTTTTTTCTACCATATTAACGAAATGGCAGACCGAAGGTTTCATTTCATTTTCCCATGTCCAACCAGTTTACTGTTTTGTGTTATTTATAATAATGCGTTTTGAATATCATTTAGGTGTTGCAAGACGTTGCTACAATTTATTTTTCATTCATTTTCAGTGAAGATGTAAGTAGGTATTTTGCTGAGTTCATATTTCGAAAGTGAATTTAAGGTTAAATGTACATGAATTTATATTTTCAACCTAACTTGTTCCAACTTTGCTCGATAAAGACAACAGCAAACCTTAATTGCCGTACATAAGACGAGACATGAATAGGGGTTGATCATTAATTTGCAAATTACGTTCACTTTAATCAGAATTGACTTGATAATAATTTAACCGTTAAAATCTTCTGTAGAAAAAGGCACCATGATACAAGTTCAAATACAAGATAATTTAATTGTATGGCGTTTTATTATTTCGAATATATGAAAATGCTGATACACACATCCGAATTTCTAACAGAGACGTGAAGTGAGTTTAATTCAACAAACATTTACTGAGGTATAAACAAACCTAACAATACGGAGGGAATAATGGAGTATTAGGAATCTGTGAAAACCTAGTTTTGGCTTGTGAGGAAAAGGAGAATAAAACTGTGATGGATACAGAGGGTGAAGATAAAGCAAGGAATAAGTAAATGGTACTCGAATGTCTCATGTCGTCAAGTTTTTTTTATAATTCTAATACATTATTTCCCTTTATTTATTAGTACATTCATGCATATTAAACAGGGACTGAACTAGTTATTCTAACCTTCAGGAGAATAAGAGCTACTTAATATCGCACGTTCTAGGTGCAGCACTTGTAGTTTGCTGCTGTTATTACTTGACTTTAACACAGTCATAAAACTTTGCGAAGGCAGATGATGTTATGCAGAGGAATCTGTGAAGCTAAATGTTGTACAACTTTGAGCTTCTTAAGGGGTTGAATCCAAGTTACAAGTTTGGTTTAGCCCCACAAAACTATTGACTGGATAAGGTGAAGCAGGCGGTTTGTTAACGATCACTTTAGTAAGTAAGTAATCTGATAATGAAATACAAACTGAAAATGGATTTATATTATGATGGTGTGTTTTTTGTCGTAGAAAATCTACTTGAACAAGCTCAATGATCATTCGTTCCAAACTAAGTTTGAAAAAATTGTTTGTGCACCCTAACGGGATAATTGATACAGAAGCTACAACAGTTGTACGACTTATAAGTTTCTAAATAGCATATATACAATAGTTTCACTATCATGGAGGAATGTCCGGCTAAAATAAGACGCAAGTACGTTGTTTTTGAGGGTGTTAGTACCATGGTGAAAGTAGATACAGCCATGATACGAAAAAGAAAGCATGGTAACAGAAAAAAGTAAAGGAAGATTGGGTAAGTAGCTGCTTTATTTGACTGTGGTCGGTTTTCGGGATTTAGGACATAAACATGAAAAAGGTACTTGAAAGATATGAGCGATTGTTCAGCCGAAACCTTTATACCATTGGTCCGAAAACATTCTGCCTGGTAAAATATACACGGATAACTGGAGGGCCAATCGGTAACTCCATGAATTCGGATGTTATCATAGCTTTAATGACAATCGTTACTTTGTAGACTTTTTGGCGGGGGTACACAAACAATGTTGAGGCCATGTGGAGTTGTCGCAAGTATCTCTTACGACCGGTCAAAGGTTGTCAAAGCAGGCCGGTATGGAGAGATTTGACAAGACATATCAATTTTGAGTCATTAACAAACCAAAAGATTTTCTACAACATAATCGGCAGACATTCGACATAGCAACTCGTCTAAATGGTTTCACACAAACAAATAACTACCGTATTAATTAATACGGTAGAATACGGCTAAAATTACTGTAGACGAGTGTAGACTACGTTCCATTGGACTCCAACAAATACCTGAAACTATACTAAAACAAGCGCAGAAATCGTTTGGTTTAGATTAGCTCGTCACAAAAATATGACATAGATGTATATGGGACATTTCATGCAGTCATACGATTATACTATCAGTTGAAATCAAAAGCATTATCTTTAGTAGAATTTATTTGCTGAAGGGCACTATGCTAACAAGTTTCAGGGCGGAACGATGGAAGTTGAAGAGAAGCCAATTAGAAAAATAGGGCGCATACCACTCAGTAGTACCTTGGGATCACGATGAGACTATAATTTATGGACGACCTTTGAGCGACGCTAAGGTGGCCTTGAGAGTGTCTACGTGATAACTAGGACCAATGAAGGTTATAAACCAGTGTGAGTAATTAGAATTATGATTTGCAGTTGATGGTTAGGGTTAGAAATTAGATTTAGGGTTTTCATCACTAAGACCGAACAAACGTACTTACCGTGGGTAAGGAAAACAATATACAACACAAGCCTCAGATTAAGACAATTTGAAGTCGAAACTATGAGCAGATAACGTAAACCCCAATTAATGTTAACTTTCCCGAGGTCTTTCAGTCACAAAATGGTTCAAATGGTTGTAGACAAAAAAGAGGCTTTCGCTTAATGGAGATCACCGATGCCTCCAAGTAAATATGTGGGTATATTTAGCAAGCCAAAGGAGATTCAAGAGACAAGTTAAGTGAAGAGATATTTCTTTGCCCAACTTGTCTTACCAATGTCTTCAGTCTTTAGTAATAATGGAAGTAGGTAAGTAGGCCTATACTAACTCTTGCAGTCTATCATCCAGTAAAGGCCTATGTCTTTTCCTTGAAGATGTTACCGAATGAGGTTGACACTTGTCCGAGTATTGCGTTCCAGTCGACACTGATGTGGAATTTAGCGTTCGTCCGGAAAATTCTAACGACCGGCTTCACGAAACGGTTTTAAACTTTAAGGTGGCAAACGGAAAACCTATCGCCACATATGGCAAACTGTACGTGGGTTTACGCAAACCCATCCACTGGATTTTCGTTGTTGCAGATGTTTCTACACCAATCATTGACATAGACCTGCTACACGCGCAAACGAAGGTTAGTAGACGGAAACACTAATTTATCTGTTTGTGTAACTCCTTTTTTCGGTTGAAAATTTTCTCCAATCACAGTTAGACACGCGATCGATCCATACTGCCAACAATTACTCGATAAGTACCCTGAAATATACCAAACGCAACCGAAATTGTGGTGTGTAACCAGCAATGTTACGCATCACATCACGACTACAGGAGCCCGCAAACTGGCTCTGGAAAAACTGAGGTTGGCTAAAAATGGATTCGCTCGCATGACGAATTTAGGAATAATTCGACCACCAAACAACAAATGATCAATTCCTTTGCATATGGTCCCCAAAAAAGACAGCAACGACTGGTGTACAACTGTTGACTATCGGCGATTGAGTACGAAAACCATTCCTGACTGTAACCCGTTGCCTCACATCCACGATTTGACGGCCACCTTGAAAAGTGCGGATGTTTTCTCGGAAATCGACTTAGTTGAAGCCGATAACCAAATTCGTATGGCTGCTGACAACATTCCTAAAACCGCTATCATTGCTTTTTTCGGTCTCTGTGAATTTTAGCTGATGCCTTTCGGTTTAAAAAGTGATGCCCAAACATTTCAAAGGTTCATAGATGACGTTTTTAAAAGTATGAACTACGTATATGCGTATGTTGATGACTACCTGATTGGAAGTCCGGA